CACTCACTCACTCACTCACTCACACACTCACTCACTCACTCACTCACTCACTCACTCATACTCACTCACTCACTCACACACACACTCACTCATACTCACTCTCTCACACACACACTTACTACACATATAAAACACATATCTAGAGATATTTAAATATATGTGTGTGTTTCTGTAAAGCACTTAGAATAATTGATATTCTGATTATTATTAAATGTAATTAAAGATCGGCATCTTTTGCCACTGTTTCATCAGAGATATTGCTCAGATTTTAAATTCATTTTGTGGCTGAAACATCATATTAATACGGAAAAACACCGTTTTTAATACTGTATTACTGCTATTAACATGACACAAACACAGCTCTGACCTTATTGGTCAGTGTGGCGGTGGGCGGGGCCAGCGCTGGCCTATCCTGCAGTGCCTGGCTGATGAGCTGCTCGCGTGATAGGCTGACGCTGACTAAGGCCCGGTACAGGAGCTGAGAGCGAGGGACATTCAGGCCTGTGGAGAACGAGGCGAAACCATTGATTATCGGTTATCGGTGAACTGTGGATGTTTGCTGTGGCGTCTCACCCTCCGCTGCTCTGCTGCTGATGTGGCTCTTTGCGAGGCTTGAACTCCGGAGTTTCTCTTTCACGGCTTTCTCAGGATCAAACACCTGGCTCTCCACTTCCTCAAGCTCCGCCCTCAGCGCCAGGGTGGTGTTTAGCTCCGCCCCCTCCGTCACCAGAGCTGATTAACGAACACATGCAGACTCGTGTGACTGATTCATGACAGAACACGCAGATGTGAATCACCTCCAGATTAAACCTTATTTTCATAAATGATCTCACTTTACAGACACCTTTCAGGTTTACCTCCATTATTAGGAGCATCAAGACTGTTTATTGCATTGTGGAGTTACTTTCATGACACAATTAACTCCTAAACAGGGTTTTTGAAGGTAAATCAAAAATGTATTTTCCAGTGCAAACGTCTAAAGACTGAGCTTGTTGTACCGAGCTTGTCTGTGTGTCGAGGTTTGTGTGCTGTGGGTTGATTTCTGTGTTCTGGGATTGCTGTGATGACGGCTGGATCCCACTCCGAACGACCGCTGCGTTGCGGACGCTCATTAAAACACACCTGTAACACACAGCAACACATTAATGCATCTGACAGAGGCTTTATCCAAACTGACTTGCGTTGATTTGATCAGTTCACGCATTGCCTGGGAATCAGGCAAAGTTTGCTCTTTAAAGATATGAATTGGAAATTAAATCTACAGATGCAAACAGACAAAGTGCAATAAAAGAAACACCTAAATGTGTATTTTGGATGTTTTCTTTCCACTAGTTTGAAAAAAGACATAATATAGAAGCAAAACAGCATTGATACTAGTGCTCTCAAACGATTAATCGCGATTAATCACATGCAAAAACAGGTTTGTTTATATAATATGCAAATATAATATACACTCACATGCATGCATACATTTAAGAAAAATATGTTATGTTTATATATTAAATGCATTTATATATAATATAGCTTATAAGAATAGTGCCGTCAAACGATTAATCGAGATTAATCGCATCCACAATAAAAGTTTTTGTTTACATAATAATATATGTGTGTGTACTGTGTATATATAAACACACACACACACACACACACACACACTCACACACACACACACACACACACACACAGATGGGATAAAATGAGTATAAACTTTTTATTTCAGCTAGTTGCCGAGGTAACCTTTCTCATTTTAATTTAATGTACTAAAACAACTAAAACTGAAATAAAAATTAAACCTAGTGCTGTGAAACAATTAATCGCATCCAAAGTAAAAGTTTTTGTTTACATAAT